TATATATACATTGTCGCTTTTAATTCTGGGTTTATATAGGTTCATTCTATGTTATCTTCAATCTTTATGCCTAATAAATTTTACTCTGTTTTTTTTCTTTCTTTTTTTTTTACAACTCTCTATCTTTATCATCCATATGGTTTTCATCTTTTACACATATCTATTTCTTTACCTTATTGCCTAACTTTTCTGATGCATTGCTAGTTTCTCACTTTCCTTATTCCCTTTCCATTCTTTATCTCTTCTTTTCCCTAATTCCTTTTTATCTCCATTTTCTATCAGTCTAACTTTCTATCTTACTCCATTTTACATATTCTCTTCCAGTGTCGATTCCTTCTTTCTTATCTGTCTCTTTCTATCTCTATTCTCTTTCTTATCTCTGCCTCTATTTCGCCTATTTCATTCCCAAGTGCCAGTTCTCCTTTTCTGTCTATCTATTCCATTCATCGCCTGCCGTCCATTCATTCTTTCTATCTCTCTTTTTTTTCTTTTCTTATCTTCTTTAGCACTTTAAAATCAAAATCTCTTGCTGTCTCCTTTTTTTTCTTATTTCTTATTCTATCTATCTGTTTCATCTATCCTTAGACGTTTATTCTCTCTCTCTCTCTCTCTCTCTCTCTTTCTTTCTCTCTCTTTCTCTCTCTCTCTCTCCTCTCTGTCTCTCTCTCTCTCTCTCTCTCTCTCTCTCTCTCTCTCTCTCTCTCTCTCTCTCTCTCTCTCTCTCTCTTCTCTCTCTCTCTCTCTCTCTCTCTCTCTCTCTCTCTCGCTCTCTCTCGCTCTCTCTCCTCTCTCTCTCTCCACTCCACCTATTCCATCACAATTCTTTCCATCTATCTATTCCAACCCAGACGTCAAATCTCTCCCTCTCTCTCTCTTTCTCTTTCTCTCCCTCTTCCCTTTCATTCCCCTCACCTCCCCACCCCCTCTTTCACCGTCCCCTTGTCTCTATTATGTCACGCACCCTCTCTCCCCTTCTTCTCCTCCTCTGTCTCTCGCTAGTTCTCTTCGCCCTCATCTTTATTGCATTCACTTATTCTCATTACACACATCGCGACCCCCTTTGTTTTATAAATATGTTTAAACTGCATTTAAATAGGGATGTTGTGTATGTTTATGTTCGTATGTGTTGTAGGTTTGTATGTGCAGTAGGGATGTATGTGTATGTGTGTGTTGTATTTTGTATGTATTTTTTTCTCTCTATGTGTGTTTTGTGTGAAAGAGAGAGAGAGAGAGAGAGAGAGAGAGAGAGAGAGAGAGAGAGAGAGAGAGAGAGAGAGAGAGAGAGAGAGAGAGAGAGAGAGAGAGAGAGAGAGAGAGAGAGAAGAAGACAGACAGACAGACGCATGCCTCCCATACATTCTCTATTTCTTGTACAAATCCTCTATATTTACTTTTTATTTTCCTCTCTAATTCCTCCATTCCTCTCCTGTGCCGCCTCTCCCCTCGCGGCGCAAGTTTCCCCTCGACATATCATCAGGGGTTTTCTTTCCCCTTGCTCTAAGTCTCCATTCGCCCTGCTTCTTCCTCCCCTTCGCCTCCTTCTCTCGCCCTCTGAGTCCTTCCCTCCTTCCTCTCTTCCTTTTTTTATCTCCCAGTTCCCCTCATTTCCCCTCTCCCAAGCCTCGTCTTGCTCTCTCCGTGTTATTTCCCCGCTCTCTTGCCTTCTTGCTCTCTCTCTCTCTCTCTCTCTCTCTCTCTCTCTCTCTCTCTCTCTCTCTCTCTCTCTCTCTCTCTCTCTCTCTCTCTCTCTCCTCTCTCTCCTTGCTTTCCTTTCCCCTCACTTTCCTCCTCTGAATTCTTACAAATCCTGTTCCTCTGTCACTCTATTATATTTCCCCTCACTCTGTATCTCTCCACCTAGTCCTCCCCTCTCCTTGTCCTTCTCTATCTATCCCTCTCACCCTGTTCTTCGCAGGCTTGCTTACTCGCGTCTCTCCTCCCTCTTCTCTGTTTCTGGCTGTCTGTCTGTTTGTCTCTTTATCTATCTATCTCACTTTCTTTCTCTCTCTCTCTCTCTCTCTCTCTCTCTCTCTCTCTCTCTCTCTCTCTCTTCTCTCTCTCTCTCTCTCTCTCTCTCTCTCTCTCTCTCTCTCTCTCTCTCTCACACACACACACACACACACACACACACTCTCTCTCTCTCTTTCTATCTATCTATCTGTCTATCTATCTATTTATCTATTTCTCCTTCTACCTCGCTTGTCACTCTTCCCCTCTCCACTTCCCCCCACTTTCTCTTTCCTTCTTCACCTGTCACCCTTTCACCTCACTCTTACTTAACTCTTTACTCTCCTCCTCGCTCCCTCAAAACCCCTCACTCTCTCCCCCATTTCTCCCTCAACACTTTTCCCTCACTTTTTCTTTCTCTGACACATCTTTTCTCTTTATTTCAAGTTCTTCCTTTCACCCTTTCGTTCCCAGGTTCGAATCCCTTCGCTCACTCCCTCTCTGATTATGACCTTCACACCCTTTTTCTTTCCCTCTCTTGATATCTCTATTATTTACACTTTTTGTTCTCACCCTTTATCTACTCCCTTCATTCTTTCCTTCCCTTTCTTAACGCCCGTTCTTGCCATCTCTTCCTCTCCTCTCCCTTCTCTATCTCCCTCAAGAATTTTCACTCTTTCCTCCCTTCTATAAATGTCTTTTCTTTCCCTTCCTAGAGCCCTTCTTCCCTCCCTCCCTATGCACCCTTCCCTTCTCTCTCACTCCGTCCACTCCCTCCCTAGTTATTTTTCTCTCCCTCTATCCCTCCCTCCCTAAACACTTCTCTTTCCCTTCCTCCCTCCCACTCTATAAAGCCCTCACTCCTTCCCTCCCTTCCTCCTCCCTCCTTCCATGCCGTCCTTGAATATCTATCCTTCTTTCTCTCCTTCCCTAAGTACCTCTCCTTTCTTCCCTCCCTCCCCCTTCTGAAACAGCTCTCCTTCCCTCCCTCCCTAGTCACCTCTCCTTCCCTCCCTCTCTCCCTCCGTCCCTAAGTACCCCTCCCTCTCTCCCTCCCTCCTTTCCCGAAACATCTCTCCTTCCCCCTTCCCTCCCTAAGCACCTCTCCTTCCTCTCTAAGTCCCTCCCTCCCTCCTTCCCTCCTTCCCTCCCTAAGCACCTCTCCTTCCCTCTCTCTCTAAGTACCCCTCCCTCCCTCCCTCCCTCCCTAAGTACCCTCCCTCCCTCCCTCCCTCCTTCCCGAAACACCTCTCCTTCCCTCCCTCTTCCCACCCCTCCATGCCTTGTCTGCGGCTCACTCCCTCCCTCCCCTCTCCCTCCCCCCTTTCTATGCAAACACATACAGGCAAGCAAATAGGTCTGAAAACACACGCTCTTTTTCGTTCCTTTTCCTCCTTTCCTCTCTTTTTTCTCTCTCTCCTTCTCCCCCCCACCCATCTTTTCTTTTCGTTTGTTTTTCTCTTTTTTCTTTTCACTTTCTTTTCTTTTCGTTTTTTTTCTTACTCTCTCTTCTCTCCCATGTTTTCTCGTTCATTTTATTCTCTTTTTTTCTGGGGTTATTTATCTTCTTTATTTGTTTTTACTCTATCTCTCTTCCTTTTCTTCATTTTCTTAGTGTTCAATCTCTTTCACGGTTTCTTCCTGTTTATTTCATCCCTTGTTTGTCTCCTATTTTCATCATCATCGTAAACATTCGTAATAAATATATGTCAATTGCAGTGGAAAAACTATTGTAATAACAATCATAATAGTTATTGGATGATTAAAAGTGTTTGATAATAGTAATAGTTGTTTTGGTAACTATGTAGTAGCAGCAGCAGCAGTAGTTTGTCTCCTATTTTCATCATCATCGTAAGCAGTAGTTATGTATAGTAGTAATAGTAGTAGTAGTAGTGATAGTAGTAGTGGTAGTAATAGTAGTAGTTGTAGTAGTAGTAGTAACAACAGTAGCAGTAGTAGTTGTAATAGTCGTAGTAGTAGGAAGAGTAGTAGTAATAGTAGTAGTAATAGTAGTGATAGTTAGTAATAGCAGTTTTGATAATGGTAATAACGATAATAATGATAATAATGATGATAATAACAAAGATGACAACGGTGATAATCATATTGATAATAATAATGGTAATGACAATGATAATATATTCAGATGATAATGATAAGAACAACAACAACAAAAATTATGATAATAAAGATAAAGACTAATTGTAATAATAATAATAATGATGATAACTGTAATAAAAGTTATGCTAATAATGATACTAATACTAATAGCAATAGTAATATTAATAATAACAATAATGATGATGATAACAATTACAATAATAATGATAATACACAATAACCCCCTCTTCTCTCTCTCTCTCTCTCTCTCTCTCTCTCTCTCTCTCTCTCTCTCTCTCTCTCTCTCTCTCTCTCTCTCTCTCTCTCTCTCTCTCTCTCTCTCCCTTCTCCTCTTTCTCGAGACTCACATTCGTTACCGAATAACTTGCTGCGCGTCTCAAATATTTCTGGAAAGTTGAAATCACTTTTCCAAATCTAGAGAATTTTTCAAAGATCATTTCAGCCGCTTCTTTGTGTGTTTCTTTGTCATATAGTATTTTTTGTTAGTATTTTATGATTTCTTGATTTTATGTACGTTGGTCTTCATTTTGTTATTATCGTGAAATGTCTCATGGAATTGCATATGATTTCCTCCTATTCCATAAGCCTCTTCTCCTATTTTCATCATCATGCCTCCTTATTCCCTCCTTCTTTCCCTTTTTTCCGAATCTCAAATCATATAATTTTCCCGCCAAAAAGATGCTTTTCTAAAATGTCTTTTAAAATGTCTCATGGAATTGCATATGTGATTTCCTCCTATTCCATAAGCCTCTTCTCCTATTTTCATCATCATGCCTCCTTATTCCCTCCTTCTTTCCCTTTTTTCCGAATCTCAAAACACACACAAAAAAAGAGAGAGAGAAAAAAAAAGAAAAGCGAAAGAAGGTTCCGAAACGCGGTTCGAATCCCCGCTTCTTGCGATTAAATCCTATAACCCGAAAAGTTGGCAATAGATGACCTTAATATTGGCTGAAGATCTGAGGGAGTTCGGAGACGGCGTGATCTATGACATCCGTGTTAAGCTTCTGCAGGAGGTAATTTGGGCCTTAAGCTCCCCGGCGATAAGGGAGGAATCAATGTACCACGGAGAGCAGGCTTTTGTGGCATTCTTAATCGAAGCTGGATATTAAACCGAGCCTGTTGCACTGGAGGAGAGAGTGTGAGGTGGCTGCGTACGATAATGTACATTTTTTTTTCTCTCCTTTTTTTTCCCCCCTTCCCTTCTTCTTCCTCTTCTTTATCTACGACGTTCGAGTAGATTAGAATGAACGTCGCTTCTGGAAGACTACGACATGTACCTGAAATGTCTTAGACGCGTTGGTATACATGTCTATTCTTTCCTCGCGCCAAAAAAGGGAAGTGGTTTAAGAAAGTGTAAACATAATCTTTTTTTTTGGGGGGGGGGCGGGGGGGCGGAGAGTTTTTAATAGAATCCTAAGGTAAGGAAAGCTTGCATGCCAACTGCAAACAACGCATCCTGCCACAAAGAAATGCACAAACAGCGTACACATAAGTTATAGGAAGGCAATGAGTGGGGTGTGAAACTGACGGAGGCTGTGAGAGAAAGAGAGAGAGAGAGGGAGGGAGGGAGGGAGAGAGGAGAGAGGGAGAGAGAGAGAGAGAGAGAGAGAGAGAGAGAGAGGGAGGGGAGGGAGGGGGAGGGAGGGAGGGAGGAGGGAAAGAGAAAGAGAAGAGAGAAAGAGAAAGAGAGAGAGAGAGAGAGAGAAGAGAGAGAGAAGAGATAAAGTGAAAATAGCAAAGGTGAGAGAGAAAAAAGAAAAAATATCTATAGCCAAGCAATCACCAAAGTGATAAACAAACACACACACACAAAAATCAAACAAACATACAAAAGAGACACATCCATCTCTCCATCCATTCAGACACAGACAAAGACAGACAGACAGACTCAAATAGAAACAGACAGAGACAGACAGACAGACACAAACAGAGATAGACAGAGACAGAGAGAGACAGACAAACAAACACAGACAGAGATAGACAGACAGGCACAGAGACAGACAGAGACAGAGAGACAGAGAGAGACAGACAGACAAACACAGACAGAGACAGACACAGACAGACAGACAACTAAACCCACGAAGCACCCAAGCATCTGGAGTCGTCACACTCCCGCCAGCCGCCTCCGAAGCGATGAACACCCCCCCCTTCCTCCTCCTTCTCCTTCCTCCCTTCCTCCCCTTCCCCCCTACCCCTACCCCCTCCACGAAGGCCCCGAGGCGTTCCAACCCGCCTCTAACTGCCTCTGATGGATCAAAGAACTCGGCAATCCAATTTTAGGGAAAAATCTGCCAAATGTGACGCTTGCCGTGTCAAGTAAAAGCTGGTAGGGCGCCTCCGAATATTACGAGTCCGCTGGTGGAAAACTCGGCGATGGGGGGGTGGGGAGGTGGGGAGGGAGAGGGGAGAGGGGTACGGAAGAGGGGGTATGGGAGGATAGGGTTTGGGGGGGAGGGGAAGGCTTGGGGGAGAGGTATTGGAGGGTAGGGTGAGGGGTGAGGGAAAGGGTTGGGGGGAGGGGGTGAGGGGAAGGGTTTGGGGAGGGGTGAGGGGAAGTTGGGGGAGGGCGAGGGGAAGGTTGAGGGAAGGTATTGGAGGATAGGGTTGGGGAAGGGTACTGGGGATTGGGTTGGGTGACGGGGTGATGGGTGGGGGATAGGGGGGAAGTAGGGATCGAGGGATAGGGAGGGTATTGGAGGGGGGGTTGAAGGGGTGGGAGGAGAGGGGGTTGACGGGAGGAAAGAGGGGTATGGAGGGGTTGGGGGTTGGTGAATGGGTAGGTGGAGGGAGGGAAGGTATGAGGATAGAGACGTAGGAGGGGGAGGGATCTAGGGGGAGGGGGGTGTGGGTAGAAGAGGGTAGAGGAGAGAGGGAGGAGAGGGAGGAAGAGGACGGGGGGGGGGGGTTAGGGAAGGGGGGAAAGGAATAGGGAAGATGGGACGAAAGGCGAGGAAGATTGGCTTAGAGGTTAAAATGGAATCTCTCTCTCTCTCTCTCTCTCTCTCTCTCTCTCTCTCTCTCTCTCTCTCTCTCTCTCTCTCTCTCTCTCTCTCTCTCTCTCTCTCTCTCTCTCTCTCTCTCTCTCTCTTCTCTCTCTATCTATCTCTCTCTCTCTCTCATTATCTCATCTCTCTCTCTGTCTATCTATCTATCTACCTGAGAATGACTGAGAAAGAGAGGAGAGGAGGCAAAGAAGAAGATAAGAAAGAGGCAAAGTAGGAAGAAGACAAAGGATAAAAATAAAGAACAAGCGAAAGTGGGGATAAAGAAGAAAGGAGGAGCAAAAGAGAAAATGGAGGAAGAAAAAGAGGAGGAGGAGAAAAGGGCAGAACAAGAAGAAAGAGAGTCGGAAGAAAGAAGTAGGTGGATAGTAAAAGAAGAACAATAAGAAGAACAAGAATAATCAAAAAGAAAAAAAGAAAATAAAAAAAG